ACAGAATCTTTTCACAAAATCTAATGGAAAATCTTAAGGTTAAGGCTTATTTAAGGAGGGCTATGTATTTCCTGCTTATCTCACTTACTTCATATCTTAAAGGTTTGTATTATTTTCAAGGTGAACAACAGTTATTTAATTTAATCTGATCTTTCCCAAATATTCTAACTTGCTTTAGGGCTTAAAGATTTCATTCAAAATACTTAAAAAAAAATTTCTTTTGAGAAATCTTCTGTGCAACATCTTTACTTGAACATAATCAGTGGACTTAAGTATTTTTTTAAGGGGGGGGGGATGCTGAGAAGAATAGATGATCCTCAAAATATATAGTCAATCGTCAGGGTTATTTATTGGGTACTGACTTTGTGGACAATGTCAGACATTGGGGAATAAATGATAAGAATGGAAAACTATGGAAATATTGTCACAACACTATATAATAAGTTCTACAACAATGCTGTGGAGTATACTATTTTGAGACTGATGGCATGTCAGGAAACTTTTGCTTGATGTTAAAACATTTGGAGTGGGATAGCCCTGTCAGGATAAAGACGTGAAAAGCCATGTGCTTTGGAGGAATGGTGAAAGGTTTCCCAAGTCTAGGGTGTAGAAGGGTAGGAAGTTGAAGGTAGCATAGTGTGGTGAGGTGGTCTTTCTCTTGATAATATGAATTTCTCTTTCAGTGGGACTGCAGACTCCGATTCATCATTAGTGTCACCCCTCAGATTATATTTTACCCTTTAAGGTTATTTATTTTAGTAAGATTTAGGATTCTTTTCAGATAAAGAGAAGAATAGTTGAGAAAGAGGAAATGAGAAAGGAGGTGTAACAGGCCAAATGCATCCTTGTCCATCTGTTTTTGTTGTTAAGTGATCCTATGTAGGGTCTCTGAGGAATGACTGGTGGGTTTGAAGTGCGAACCTTGTGGTTAGCAGTCCAGTGCTTATTCTACATGCTAGCTACATTTCAGTCATTATTGCTATTAAGTGCAGAATGAAACACTCTCAGGTCTTGCAATATGCTCACATATTTTTGCTGTGTGAGCCCATTTTGTTAGGTATTAACCTCTTTTTCATGGACTCTCCAGTTTTCCAAGGGACCTTTTTCCAGGGACTTTTCCCTCCTAACAACATGTCCAAAGTATGAGAGAGGAAGTCTCACTCCCCTCGCTTCTGAGGAACATTCTGACTGAATTTTCCCGAAGACAGACCTATTTGTTCTATGGCACTTTTAATACTCTTCTCCAACACCATCATTTAAATGCATCAATCCTTCTAAGATCTCCCTTATTCCAGTATTGTCCAAATACCATATGCATATGAGGCAATTGAAAATACTATGGCTTGGGTCAGGGGCACCTTAGTCCTAATCTCTGTTCTTTAACAATTTAAAGAGATCTTTTGCAGCAGTCATTTTCAGTATGTCATTT